GTTTATCACTCGTCAACTTCTTCATTGCAACTACAAGTTGATAGTGGTAAACCCAGCACTTACTCTGGACATGCATATTTAACACAGAAAAACAGAATACATCCAAACAAAATGTGTGACACGTTCCATCACGACAGCCGAAGAGACGATCAATTGAACCAATTTCCTAATTGAGTTTTCTATGTCTACACTTGCGATATAGTTTACGTGCGCAAGACTACTTTTACAGTGCGTCATTTCTACAGCATAGGTGATCAAGTATGAAATAGTCGTCTTGAACACCGTTTAATTTTATCATTACTTTCCATATATTTTATGATTGCTACGTTCCATTTGCATTAAAGATATATTGAACGCCATCATAGGCAATAAAACATACACACCGAACGCAATTATTGCTAAGTTAAATGCTCACTTGATGTGCAGTGCCATCTATTGTCAAAGCAAATTACAGTTAATGGTTTGTGTCCTCTAGTAAGCATCTTCAGCAAATAGCTAGTTACGGCTGGTGGCTACAGAATTCTCCCAATTCGACAAATCGAGCGACCTTACATAATGGAAATGAAGTATACAGTGCAAGCAAGAACTTGTATACAAACATAATCTCTAGAAGCAAACATGCATGATCTTAATAATGCACATAACAGAGAAAACAAGTCAGCATAGCAAATAATGTGCAAGAAATATTATTAAAAAACTACAAATTTGCCACTTTATTGGTATTATCTGTGTGTTAAGATAAGACTCGATCATCTGGAAGTTGCTGTGTAAATTTGCTGTCCAGCGAAAGCATCACATTGCTTTTCGGTCTGATGTAAACATTGGAGCTGAAAGCAGCTTTATACACGTTGTGTCTATCTGATAAAAACATTTTCAGGCACAAAATGCATGCATAGAACAACTACTTTGATTCGTCTATTGATTGGACTTTGAGAGAAAGCGACCTCAAACATCAGTATTTATTCAAGCACTATGTCATGAATATTCTCTTGGTTCAACTTGCAGGTTCAGCGCCTTTAACTATCTGGTATGCCTTGGCAAATAGCGCACCATGTTCATGAGTGAGTAATGTCGTTACACAACAATATCATGAACCACTTCACTCAATGCATTTAACAGGCATAATAATGCCATTGCTTATGAAATGTTGGACGATGACCAGAGTTAACTGCACCGTTTTGTTAGTTAAGAAGTACATAACCTTACATCCAAACGAGTATTAGTTATTGTCCCATAATACTGCTGGTTACTAAGTAAATGGTCTAATTGAAATCCGCAGTCCAAAAAATCAGTTGTTTACAGTTTCAAAACCCTGCCGCGAAGCAGGTGTGATCGAGATTTATATAGTGCACCGGACATTTTCGCACGATGAATCGGCGTACGATGCTATCAATCCAGTGATTTCGTTAAACATGGACGCTCTGTGATAAGGAACTTTTTGTCAGGCTGTCCTCGTGCGCCCGTGATTAGTACGTGTGTTTTACTCCTAATTCCATCTTTGTCCGTGGCTGTGGTTTACACGCTGACACCTCCATTTCATCTGGCGTGCGAAAACCATACGGGCCTGCACAAATGTTACGTCATCACTCGACTCCTGATGACATTACGGCCCGTAAATGATACGTTGAATACATATCAACAACCGGATCTCAAGTCTTGTTTGTAGTACCAGGTCATGATATGGACAAG